TTTTGGGGATTGACTTCCATCAAGTCCCTTATCCCTCTTGGGCATTCCCATATGCACCTCCTTCAGTGAACCATAAACAATGATTGGGATATTTCTCAGGTTTCCTTATCAACCCTTATAATTCCTTTTATCTCTCCATCCCTCTATTATGGTAGCTTGATTGCTTCAACACATATCTGGGTATTTCCCTTCTCGCTCCTTACCCTAATCTGCTTCTCTACACACACATACCTCTTTCCAAATGGGGGTGGTTTTGGACACCTCCACCATCTCATTGGTTTGTTCTCTAGAGGAGCAGTCTCTTTATATTTATGTCTTGGAAATTTTGGCTGCTTATCGAGTTTACTAACATCTTCAGTTTCAGTTCATCTGGTGATGATGTATTTGGCAATTCCACAGTCATATTTCTGTTAACTGTCAGGGTGGCACTCATTTTCAGGACCTGTGCTTTCCCACTTAAGAGTTTTTCTTTTAGGCCTGTGACTATTAAATCCAATTATCAACCTGTCATGTCTCAAAAGCTTTGAATCTGGTTGTGGATTGCTTGTCTCGTTAGGACTAAATCCTCCCCACAAAGTGGTCTCTTCATTCTTTGATATTCAGTGGACTTGTTCTCACTAGGTCATCTACTAATCAATGTTTTTGAGACCCCCCTAAGTGACAAACTTCCTCTCTTTTCATGTCTAATCCAAGACTGGAGCTCTGGCATTGTTGCTGATGCTCTTAATCAGTATTAGTTCAGTGTCTTTCATTAGGTCTATCTTTGTTTTTGCTTCTTCCCTATGTCCTGTTTCTTATTTTGACACCCCTTGCTAGGTCCTTCTAATTGCTTCTCTTTAGCCAGCTCAGTCATGGTTCTCTCTCTCTTGTGCCATTTAAAATCCAGGAAGACTATTTCATTTGCTCTTTGGAGTTACTTCTTCCTTATCCATGGGTGTCCATTTTTCACAACAGGATATTGTGCCTTTGGCTTCATGCATATGATTTTTCTGGTCCCTGCACAACTGTCAGACCTTTTATGCATAGTGGCTTGTTTTTCATTCTCATTTTTGCCAGCATTCTATCAACACAAATACATTGTTTACTGCTATTGGTCCTTGTGCCACTCCATTCCACTGGGTCATTCTATTCTTCCCCATCCCACTGGCTTTTGGATAGAGATTTATTTGTGTCAACATTTGCTGGTTGTACATCACATTCATCCACTACCTTTTGTCTCTTACCTGGCACTTCTCCCTTTCACTCTCTGATTCTTACAGAACCTCATCTGGGCTTTTCTCATCAGTCATCCCCCTTGCTTGGTCCCTCTTCCTGAGTAAAATCTCTGCATTGTTCTCCAAGCTCTCACTTGTTCCCTGTTGGAACCTTAGGCATCCTGTTAGATTTATCATCTGTCCCTGAAGACGTATTTTCTACTTCTGTTACTTGCGGGAAACTTTGTTTAGACATTTATGGATTGTATTCCTCCTGCAATCTTTAATACAGGGATAAGTTGATTTCCAGATCACTCCTCCCACAGACTTGAACTCCCCAGGAAGGTGATTGGATGTATCACTCTGACCTGTTTTGTCTTTTTTGTTCAGTTCAGGCTGTTTGTTGTTATTTCACTCAAACTGCCTTCTTCCTTGGAAACTGCCATCACTGTAATTGCTGTAGGATACATCGTCATCTTGTGACTTGTTACCTTCAAATTTAACCAGATGGGTTTGTCAACTCACCTGGTTGATGTACTCTTTTTTGAGTGTGGATGCTTATACACTTTATTACATCACCTCTCATCAGGTTCATTATCTCACAGCTTCTCTCACCTCTCATTGCTGTCATCCTTTGGATAATAAAAGAGGCCAGAATGTGGATGACACATAACATGTATTTGTATCACATTGGAGTTTCTTTTGCTGCTAGTTTTTGCTTCTCTCCACTATACCCAGAGGATCTTGTGATATATATTTATTTCTTCTTCACTTACTCTCTTGCCATTTTAGGTTTTGTTGTTCATCATTTCATGCCAGTGGAATACACTTTGTGGCTGGTGTTGCATTACTTGGAATACTTACCTGAAATTTGCATTATGTGGGCAGGTATGGAAAGCGTTAAATCCATACATACCTGCTCAGTGCCTGCTAAGATTGGATTTTGTGCAAGACTACTGTGTAGTGTGTATATATATATATATATATATATATATCTCAGACTATTCTGCAGTTGAAAGAAAAAGAAAAGGCAGTACTGGGTGTGTGCCTGCTGTCTTTAGCCACAGTAACCTATTGCACTGTTTCTCTGTATGGAACTTAATTCCAGATGATTGTGCCTGATGACATGGTTCAAACACCTTTCCAATATTTTCCCCCACTTGAACTTCTTCTCCCATTACTTCTAGTGGAGTATGGGAGAATCTTTGCTTCTCCAGTCCCAAGCTGCTGAGGAGAGTTGAGAGCAAATGGACACATCCCTCACTGGCGATTGGATTTAGGGGTTACCAGAGAGTGTAGTACAGGACAACCCACTGTGTTTTGAATCAAGCCATTCCTTGTGGTTAGGTCCAGTGGGATGGGTCTTTGATTTGCCCCAGGACACAGTTCTCACTTAAGTATTTCTCTAATATGGAACAGCCTAACTTCTTGCCCAAGCCACACTACACATACTAACTCGTCTGGCTGCATGTGAGATAATGGCCAAATGAGCAGTCTTATAATCCATCCACCTTCATGATACTTTAGCACCTTGCAAAAGATTTGTGTGATACTTTTTTTGCTCTATCTTCTTTCTTGAAAATGAATACTACAATAATATTAGGCAAAGAGTATTCTCTGCTTGAGATGGATGCTGTCTTCCACTGATACTTCCACACTAGGCTACTCCTACCTTGTGGGTGTCACACTCCATAGGTTTTCTCTTTCTGACATTTTTTTTTAGAAAAGAGCTTATCTCTGTAATTTCTTTTTCTTCACTGGCCCCTCTTTTTTTTTCTTGTTGCAAAAAGGTGAGTAGCATATCTGAACTTAACAATTTCCTTACCTGAAAATGGACTTCAGATAAATACTCAACTCTCTGCACCACCTCCCACACTTCCTTCCCACTATCAGTGTATTTTGCTTGTCTCCTTAAGAATGAGCCTTTGTTTCAAATGCTAGTTCTCATGGGGATTACTGCACAGGGAGAATGTATCACCCTCCTTTTTTGTGGAGGGCTGTAGTTAATGGCAATTACATCATAGACTGGTGCAATACACATTGACACATGTAGGAATGGGTGGGAGCACTGGTTAAGGCTTGTGGCATACACAGGAAATCCCAAAGCAGTTCATGAAGTAATAGCTATTTTGTTTCGTTTTTTCTGGCAGTTATTTAGATTTAAAAATAATTATTTCCGAAGAAATAATTACTAATCTGGGGGTGCTCGAAGATTAAACAATCCTCCTTCACCCCGCTTAAGGTCTAGGAATATGAGCTTAACTTGAGAAAATAGGAAATTAATGCAGACGAGGTATGTAACTTTAAAAAGGTAATCGAGAGAGTAACTATAGACAATAAAAAGTGAAGAGCAAAGTAAACTAAACGGCCGATATTGGACAGATGGTCCATCAGGGCGGCGGGGATCTAAAAATCCTATGCCGAGAATTTAATGTGGGGGAAACGGGAGTACCCCGAGAAAACCCACTTTCACCGGTAATGACTGATTCATTCCCAAGTCATCTGTGTAGACTGGCTATCATTGTGGATAGGTTCTCATTTTTGCTTTAGGTAACTCTTAGTCTTTGTTTCAACATTTTTCATTTCTAAATGTTAGCACTTTATTGTAGGTACTTTAATCTTCAATTTAACCTCTTGATTTTCTAAATGCTAGCATTTCTTTTTAGATGACTAGTCTGTTTTAACATCTAGGCCTTTTAAATATTAACAGTTCTTCTTAAGTAACTTTTAGTCATTAATATTTCATCTTGATCTTCTAAATGTTAACACATCATCTTAGGTAAACTTCTAGTATTTGTTATCAGTGTTATTTCTGAGTGGTAACACAGTTTTAGGTAATTTATATTCTTTGTTTTAACATCTTAAGTCTTGAATTTCTGAAATGAATATTTCTTTTTTTTTAGTTAAATTGTAATGTTTGTCTTAAGTATTGATGTAATAGTTTTGGTATATTATAATGCATCATTAGTTTTATAAGTTTGAGCAATACTGTAACATTTTTTGTTCTTGTAATGTTAATGTGTAAATTATTGGTAATAAAGTGCAAGTAATAGTAATGGTTTGTGTTCTAAGTTCAGATTCACACATGAGCATTTGATGAGTAATAGACATTCCATTATGTGAGCAGTTTATCAAACACCTCATATGGATTTACTTTCTTCATTAACATGTTAAAAGCACAACAAAATGAGTATATAATGGCTTGGTTGGCATAAAGTATTTCAGAGTGGCAACAAAGCTGAGAAAGCCAGAGAAAATTGAAAATTACCCCAAAATTTGGAAAGGTCTGAGAAAAATTGTCTCCTCCCATTTTTATTTATCTCAGAACCTGCATGCACACACAAATCATATTACTTAACTTTGCCAGTTTTGGCATATTATAACATAATCTTGATCAGTCAGTCAATCTGTTTCTGTATCTAGTGATGATTATGTAATTTATTATCTGCAATGATAGGCTAGAACAAATATTCTTTTATAAATAAAAACTGAAATATTTTATTGTCTACCATCAAATATCAAAAGTGTCTACTCTAGTAGACATGATTTTAGATACGTATGTGTAACCACCTTCTATTTCATATTTGTTTTCTGAAAGAGGTTTTATTGCTTCCAGTTTTACAAAATGTATAGGTATAATAAATAGGTTCACTCAAAAGAAATGTATGAAATTTTAAACCTGTAAACCAGATATCTTTGCCCAGATTTCTATAATTCACAAATTATTAAAAAATAACTTGTCTTTATTTTTAATCCAAGATTGTGTCACGGTGACAAAAAAAAATTATATATATATATTTCTTCCAGCAACATCATTCCGTCTTTTGTTCTGATGGATATCCAATCATCAACAGTGGTAACCTATGTTTATCAGCTGATTGGGGAAGATGTGAAGGTGGAAAGGATAGAATACAAGAAATCATAAACATTTGTTGTGTTATTTTGTAAATTAGACTACTATTATATCAATACAAAGAAGAAAACATCTCCCTCTAATAAAATATTATTTTCACTAATATTAAGCCAAATAGCTCAATTAAAATTAGTGAAATAAAATGTTTGAATTTCCAGCCAGTGTTTTTTCTCACATTGGGTTGCTTTTGTATGTATGTGCACATTTACTGGAGATAAATGTAAAAATTATGCATTCCTTGTAAAGAAAAACTTCCATGAAACTACATAATTTAAGCATGTTTTTTTGTCTGAATCTACACTTATATTTTTCATAACTATTGTTTTTCTTTCATAAAGCTTATTCAACTAACTTAGTAACTTTCAGCTAATTTTTGAACATATATATATATTTAGGTTGATTCATGTGAATAAGATTTTGTGCACCGATAAAGCACGCGTGTAAATGAACTATTCTACATTTCTTCAACTGTACATTTATTTCACTGTATTAGCTGAAGCGATTTTTTTTAAGTAAGTTATAAGAATCTGTACCACAACTCTTGTTTTTATTAGAATTAATGGATGTAAAAGCACATTGTGATAAATATAAAGATTAGTCTTATAAAGAACATAGAAATTGCTTATTCAATTGTTACAAATATTAAAATATTTTACATTCACACAAGTGAAGCTCTTTATTTCTTAATGTAATTGGTTGTCTTAAATTATTGCTTTATATTGTAAACATGTTCATATTATGTTGCAGTGTGTCTTAGTATATTCAAATTTCACTGATGATAGGGCCTTTATCATATATGATCATGTTATATTATAAATGTATTTAAAAATTGGATTATGAAAATACCAAATCTGATGCCCAGAAATGAATAAAAATTATGCACATACATGTAAATCTGGTCAATAAAACATATCTTCAGAATAATGTGGAACAGATATTCTGTGGTTTGTTTATACTCTATAACTTATCCTGGGGCTGATCTAAAGAAAGTGAAAGATCATAATTGTTTATACATCAGATAAAAAGTAGATTTTTACAGCTATTTCTACATGAATCAACTGTAAAAGTTTGAAGATGACTTGAATGTATAATGAAGAAAACTATTATAAATGTACAACATTTTGACAAGATTATATCATCATCAGGTACAAGTAGCTTACATAGACACAGGCATATATATATATATACAGTATGAAACAAAGAGGTAATTTGACCGGAAATTGCTTAACAGTTTAGTAAAAGTTTCTTGGTATTCTGGGGTGTTTGTTTAAAGTAGGGCTGTTTTGTTCAATTAAAATAGCTTCCTTTATTTTAAATTTGTTTATGTTTGATTCTTTGTTTAAAATTACAGTGTTTTGTGAAGTTATACTGTGGTTTTTTTTTAGTTGCAATGATGGTAAACATGGGAGGTTTTTTTATTATGTTTGGTGAATCTGGTTTCCAGTTTTATTCCAGTTTCTCTGATATAGAATTCTATACAGTTATCTTATAAATGATGTTGGTATTGTGTGATTCTATGTAATTTTTATTTAGTAATGATTTTAGTGTAGGGCTGGGTTTTTGAGTGAATTTGAAGTTAACATTCCTGTGTCTAAATAAACTACTTGTAACTAATTATGACAATCTTGTTGAAACACTGTACATTTATAATAAAGATTTCTTCATTACCCATTCAACCATCTCCAGACTTTTATTTTATAAAAAGTGTGTTTCTCATCATCAAATTTGAATCAACTGTGTTTAGCTTATTTCTGTTTTGATGAAATATAGTTGCCTTCCATCTCTTGTCTACCATTACAAGAACTGTAAAAGACGTGATAAAAAAGCCCAACAAAAAAGAGGTCAATCAAACTAAATACTGGCAAATAATAAGTGGTAAACACATTCCCTATAATATTTTAGTAATTCCTTTTATCTTTGTCTGTGACTTGCAAATTCTTTATTGGAAATATTAGGAACTTGCAAAAACTTTAAAGGGATGATTTCTGTATATATTATAGATTGTAGCTTAAAATCAAATATTTGTAACACATGAAAAGTTTTTTGGTGTACAAAACTTGAAGATAGCTTTTATATGTGGAAACATCTGTTAGCTGAGTTCTTGCACAGATCTTAAAATATAACGTTGATAAATGGAAACATCGGCACATATAAATATGTAGATCTTGAAAGTCGAGTTGTTCAAAACTTGAAAATATCGTTGATAACTGGAACAATTGTCGGTTGAGATGTTGCAAAGGAAATATCTGCTGAAGCTTTTCACCAGACATAATCATAGCAGAACTGTCTGGAAAATGATCTATAGAAAATAGTACAGCTTATAAAATGAGTCAGATCAACGTAGGTCGGTAAGGCAATCACTGATTGGCATGTCCTTTAGACAATCAGGAAATGTCACAGACCCACTGAAGGATGTGTAGATTGTATAGGAATTCTTTTTGG